TTACTCCCGACTGGAGAGTCAAAAAACATTTTAGGTTTAACCAATACACAAAAAAAAAACATTCCGGCAAGATTTAAAGAACTAGACGTTACTTACCGGCTCGCGCTACTTAAATGGCTGAAAGACGAATTGGGAATACATCTAGAGTTGTGCGCTCTGGATGTGAGATATATCCCTGAGTTCGATTTAATTCCCTATGTCAAGGCTAAAAATTTTATTTCTAATATGCGATCTCTATTAATTCAACAAAAGCAAGCTGTTGAGAAGTATAATTTAAAGCCCGTTCTACCCTTTTGTTTAAATTTAGATCTTGCTTATCAAGAAGAAAGCTTAAGTCCGGACCAGGCCACAAGTTCAGTAAAAGAAGAAAGCAATCCAAAGATCGAGCTAAATTCTACAAGTTTTTCAAGCAACGCTTCACAAATAACTACAACATTAAAACAAACAGCGAATCTAGATCAATCAGCCGAGACTGAAGTGAATGTTGCACAAACCCAAGCTCACTTGAACGCCAATATGATTATATATGACACAAACGAAAACTTTTCTTCCGATTACAGCGACGGAGCAGAAATCTATGATTTTGATTATCCAGTGGCGATCAGTAATACTCGATTCGACTCGTTAAGAGACGTAAAATCAAGATTGAATAGTGGGAATCTAGATTCCAACTCGGAAAACATGTTAGATCAAAACGGATTAGGGTTATGGATACATATAAAATAAATTATAGAGATGTGTTTTTGGCAAGGATCTCTGAAACAATAGTTTCTAAACTCTCTAATACACTAGGTGGACTAAAAAAACTAAAATGTATTGAACCTACACATTATTCAGATTCTTCAGTTGGTCTTCGGCACTCTTAATATGTTCTATTGCATCGATAACTTCTGTTGGGTCATCTTCCGGCCAGTTGCTGAGCTGAAAGAGTTTTTTGTTCGTTAGGCATTTGTTGATTAATTGGTTGGTGTGAGATATAACAAGTTTCATTGTGTATTCTTGTACAACACACGTTTCTTGTATACCTTCTTGAAGTTGTTTGAAAATAAAAGCATCCTGATTCAGATTTTTTAGTTGAAGTTCGCGTTCTTGAATTTCTTTGTCGTAATGATGATGCTCAACGCATAATCTTTTGATGCTCTAATAGTTTCAGTCGAACTACAAACTTACTTTTGCAAGGAAAACAATGTTCTTGATCTCTTCTTGCATTTTTTATGTGGGTTCTAATTATCCTTGCTTATGAATTAATTAATAATTATCAAATATAAGATTTAATTCTAATTATGTTATTTTCTAATTTATTGTTCTCTGGTTCATCAACGTAACAGATATTGTAGCTTTCATCGGTAAAAAATCCAGTTTCAAAAACACCTGTTATCATGTGTAATTGTTTGTCTAACTCTATTATTTCCTCACGTTTTTTCGTTAGAGGTCTATCTAAATTAACTAGTAATATAAAATTGCCATTATCAGTTACATAACGTTCGTAAGATTCGCTTGAATAGGTCATTAACCTGTATTTGCAAGCGTACATTTTGATGAAGAACAACTTCACAATTTTTTCTATCGTTACTTCGTAATTAAAAGGAGATATTTCAATAGGTATTTCACCTACGCCTAGAGATGGAACGAACTTTTTCTTTTCTATCAACAAAAAAACTTTTTTAGATATTGAAGCGTAAAACTTCTCTCGAAACATGGCTGCTCCTCTGCCTTTGAGGACGCACAGATTTTCGTCGACTTCATCGGCTCCGTCCACAGTAACGTCAATTATGGTGTCTTCGTCAACCTGATTTTCTGTAGTTAAACCTTTGCGCAAAGCATAGCTCGTTGTTTTTTCACTTGTGCTGTAAAACGTTACGTTGTGAAATATGTTTTCTTCTTTGTTTTTCGCGAAATAGTTCGCAAAAGCGTCTACTACTTTCATAGCCATTCTGCCAGAGCCCAAAACAATGTTTTTCGGTTTAAATCGCATAACATGATTTACCATGTTATATGCTAAAGCCTCACGATAGCCATTTTCGTTGGATAGGTCGACAGGATCTTTGTCCGCGCATTCAATGCTAAGTGTTAATATCATCTTCTGTTTTTATAAATATAAAAAAATTAATTCATAATAAAAATGTCCAGATATTATTATGTCTACGGATCAGAATAAACGATCCAAGAAAATTTCACACACACTCCTGTCTTATTTGTAATAAAGCAAAAAATTAGTTTGTTTATAATTTTATTATTTGTCGAAATGTTTGTTATGGCATAAACTTGAACGATTATTTCATAGTAAAGATCGGTGACTATTAAAAAAACAATTTTAGTTATCCTAGCCAAAGTTTCGATTTTGTTAACGTCTTAGTAAAATCTGTTTAAACGCTTTCTAGCTATATGAAGCAGTTTATTTCGACAAAAAATGTTCTACCTGATATGTCATTAAGATGTTGGAAATGTGATATATTCTGTCTCAACGAGAATTTAAATATCGTGTCAAAATCACTAAACAATGATTTCAAAATGTCGTTTATTAATTCTGCGGACCCTGAAACCGAGGGTTTACTATTTTATAGTGAAGAGTTCATTGATCGATTGAAAGAATTAAGTTTTGAATTGGCTCAATTATACAAAACAATGTGCATAAGAGAAAAAGTCAATATAGCTGTGACTTGTTCCACTGCATTTCGAACCTTATTGTCAGTTTTCATGAATTTATGTAATCTGGTCATCAAACTGGAGCACACTTCAAAAGAGCTCAAAACCAACACAGAAACACTAGAATCATTACGTCAAATGCCGCTATCGGTCGTAAACGTCGATTTGAACGAACTGAAAAAAAGGCTGGACACGATAAAAAAACAGAACAGCGAAAATTTTTCAAACAATAGGTCTGTTTTAATAAAAACAGACAACGAAAAATTAAACAATTTAAATAGTTCACTTGAAAACATTACGCCTTCGTTTGTCACTCATGACCTCTGCAATATAGCTTTGCTGAATAAAGCTCCAGATCCGTACTCAGGACTAGATACAGAAAAAGCGAGTATTATAACAGTATATTCAGATCAGGTATTAACTAATTCTTGCAAAAATGATAAAAAAATACTCAATGATAAAGATGATCGAGAGGAACTTACGAGGGAGAACAAAGCAAATACTTTTGCAGAAATGCGAAATAAGACAGCCATAAATAGAAAAAAAATGTCATATATGCACGAAGAACACATAACTGTATTGAGTAATCAATATATTGATCATAATGCTATCAAAAAAGACAGAGTCGTGAAAGGTAGAAATATAACAACTAAACCTGTTTTTATTCAGTCGATACGTTCATACATACCGCACGCTATTGTAGGCCGCCCTGATAAACATGTAAAGGATACATTCCAGAATGTACTAAATCAATTACCACCTTTTTTTTCAATATCAACATATAGTAAACACTTATGGTTATCTGTTCTAGTTGGATTTTTTTTAGGAGCGCTGGTTGGACCAATCTGTATTACTTTGTTGTTGAATTTACCTTTTTATCAAATCAAGTAAATAAGATCTTCAGTTACATTATATATTGACGAAATATTGCTACTAAATTTATATGGAGGGAGTAATAAATTTAATGTTGTTTGAACAATGGTATGCGCACAATCTAAGTTATTGTGTAGTAATATTTATTGAAAGTTTTCAAGTTCTAATATCAGAGACTCAAGTAAGGTGTCGTCAATAGAAGAGAGACTTGGGATCAATGCTCGAGCTTCTTCGACTGAACTAGGGAATAAGTTTATCAGGAGCATAAGCTGCTCACTGTTTAATTTGTTATAATAAGTGTTATGCGCATGCTTTATGTTTTTAATTGAATTATCTCGGTACACCGTTGTAAATTTACTACAATAGTCATAAGTTATTCTTGCAACATTCACTGTGGGATATTTTGTATGACTCATACGTTCATCCAATAATGACAGAACTTCTCCATTATTTAACCAAATGATGTCGTTAGTCATTTGTTAATGGCTATATTGACTGTAGTTAATAATTAACGTAAACAAACAACAAATACACAAAAATTATTGATTTAAAAATTAAAGATTCAAGATTCTTTTTTTATTCGCATTAGTTACTTAAGAATTTTTCGAATTTATTTTTAGGATTTTTCTCAAAATTATTCTTTAAGAACTGAATATGTAAGCTAAAAATGCTTATATATGAAACCTTTTAAATATATTGCGAACAATGTTGATGAGTTTATAAATCTCTTGATACGTTTTGACTTTTACACTGATTTTTACGATGACACGTATTCAAATTTATCATTTGAATTGGCTAATTTGAAAAGAGCGCTGGCACCGCCAAAAAATTTAAGCTCAGAATCAGACGAGTTTAAACTGTGGCAGAAGTTACGAATAAAAAGTTTGAAAGTGAAATACAATCAAGTTGATGAATATATTAGCGACTACTTGACAGCTATATTTTTCGAAGCCAAACAATTAATATATAGAGCGAAAAAAATAGAAGTACGACGTGAGTTATTTGAAAATGTTCAATGTGCTCAAGTCAGGTCTATTGCGGACGACAAATTTTCTATTAGTTTAGTTAGAAATAATTTTATCAACCAAATTAACGAAGGCGATCTAGTTTTGCTGTCAGGAACTCCACCAACGCAAGATTGTTTGTATTATATCAATAAATACAAAAATCAATATAATAACTCAAAGATAGATATGCTACTCAAACAAAATAATCTAAATTTGATCAACAATCGAGAATACGTTAAGGACGAAATTACTGAATTTTCTCGTGATTTTTCCAACGATCTTTTAAGTGATAACCCCCATCATATATTAGGTATCGTTAATTTAATTTGTTTGGGGAACTATGAAGTTAGAGTTATTATTAATGATTCAAGATACACTATTGACGAATTAATCTCCGTCAATGAAGAAAACAAAGACAACTTTTTGCACTATAAGGACCTATTAGGCTTTTTGATGGAGCGTGATAATTATAGAATGAATTGGCTTGCAAACGCATTGGTCAATCCCGGCTTAGTCACTTGGACCATGACTAAAGTTTTAAATATGTCGACTCTTTTTCGAGAAGTAAGCGCATTACTAGACACACCCAAGTTTTCACTGCTACCCTTTTTATTTCAAAAAAAAAAAATCGTTACTAACAAGCGATTTATAATTCCGCCAGCTTTACTCAAAATTTTTGAAACAAAATTCAACGATTCTCAGCTGGAAGCAATTAAAGAATGTACTAAATATGAGGGTGTTAGCTTAATTCAAGGACCACCAGGAACTGGTAAAACTTCAACAATTAGCGCAATTACTTCTCTTCTCTTGAGCGCAGAAGATATTTTTACAGTTGACGTAAAAGAAAATAACGTCCCCAAACAAATTTGTGAGAAACCTAACAGTAACAAATCCGAAAGGTCTGGATTTATATTAAAAGGCTCAAACTGGATTGATGAAAACATCATGACATTAGATGAATGTTTTTCATACCACCCGTCGAGTCCTTCAAGTCAAAGTGTTATTCGCCTGGTTAACCAAAATTTAGCAAAAAATACAAAAAAGATTCTTATTTGTGCGCCATCAAATGCTGCAGTTGATGAAATAATGAGACGTTTAGTTTCAGACCCTCGTTTGAATGGTGGTATATATAATAAAAAAGGTACGCTATACACTCCAAATGTTATACGTATAGGGCCAGGATATCATAAAGAACTTAAAAAATGGAGTCTGAATGAACGTCTGTCACAACTAAAATCTGTCGGAAAAATGATAAGTATCGATCATTTTAGCCGAAAACTTATTCAGGAATCTTCTATTATCTGCTGTACTTTATCAATTGCCGGAAGTCGAATCTTAACACCTTTTATTGGAGCTATCGACACAGTTATTGTTGATGAAGCATCTCAATGTGTTGAAGCAAGCAATTTGATTCCATTAAAATTGGATCCAAAACGCGTTATCTTAGTCGGAGATCCGAAACAGCTGCCGGCAACTGTTTTCAGTGTGGTTGCATTATCTCTCAATTATGACAGAAGCTTATTCCAGAGGCTACAAGAGCTGAATTTCAAAACAGTTTTATTACAAACTCAATACCGAATGCATCCAAGAATCAGTGCGTTTCCAAACAATAAGTTTTATAAAGGCCAGTTAAAAGACGCGCACGATTTGGTAAATAGTTTGAAACCTCTTATTGACTACTATAAGCTTCCTTTGTTTGCTCCATTAGTTTTTATCAACATTTCGGGTGTTGAAACTAAATCTACCAATAGTTACATCAATGTTCTTGAGGTTCAAGTCATAACTGAGCTTTTACTTATCTTAAATGATTTATTTTCTCATTTCAATAAGTCACACGGGAGTTGGATGAACCACGCTGGTGTTATCACCCCTTATGCAAAGCAGGTTCTTCAGCTGCGAAAAAGCATAAGTACTACGTTTGGTTTTGACGCAAGCACAACTAATAATATAGACGTTAATACGGTCGACAGTTTCCAAGGACGAGAAAAAAACTACGTCATTTTTAGCGCAGTGCGAGCTCAATATAATTCAGATGATGGCGACAGCACAATTGAAACAAGTAGTTGTAAACAAAACAATGAGACGAATGAGCAGTTAGTTAAAAATGCAGATCAAACTGTTGAAGAGTCTGGTTTAGACGCTTGCAAAACCGAATCATCCTTTCAAAACTCTGTCTACACTCAAAAACGTGAAATTCAGACCATTTCAGGTGACCCGGCATTAGTGTCAGAAACTTCTAAAAAAATTGCTATATCTGTAATAAATGAAACACAAACAGATTCGGTTATTCCGGATAGCAGCAAAAAAGTGCTGCAAAAACACAGTATTGGGTTTTTAGCGGACAAACGTAGGTTGAATGTAGCTTTAACAAGAGCGAGACTAAACCTTTGGGTGGTTGGAAACGTTAAATACTTGTGCAAGAACCCGCTTTGGGCTGACTTAATAAAATTCTGCGAAGAACAAAACACAATTATAAATGTTGATTTAAACCAATACAAAACTGGGTATGCCCTGCATTCTCTATTGTTTGAACAACTTTTAAAATCAGAATACACTTATGGTTTATTCAACTCGGTGATACCGAACTTTGTTGCAGAGCTTAAAAAAAAAGTGAATTAATATAACCCTACGTCTATGTCTGTTGGGAAGTCTTGATTCTGATCATTTTTTTGCCGTGCTTCGATTTTTGGCTTGTTTTCATCGGCCTCTTTAGAAAGCATTTTCAAATAAACTCGCAGCAAATGATTGCTAAGCTGTTTGTTCTGGGTGAGCAATTGCTCTATTTCTTTCGTTTTTTTGTAAACAGTACTCAGACGTACACTGAAATAATCCGCAATTGCTTTTGCTGTGATAATTTTTTTTGTATTGGGCGAAATTTTGGCGGCTATCAAGAACAAAGCAGCTATTATTGTAATCTTATTTCTATAAGTGATTTTTGTTTTATTTGTTTTTTCCAAGTAAGCAGCAATTATTTCAACGGAGTCAATCCACTGCAGCGTGTTGGACCGTTCGTTTGAGGCAGTAATGACCTGTTTTGATACATTGGACACCGCAAACGTACTAGTTGTGTTTGAAAAAATACTGTCTAGTATTTTTTCGTCACTATGGTTTTGCGATTGGTCGGTACCTGTGAAATCTTGGGCTGCATCGAAAATCGGATCTCGAACATGTTCTGCATTTTTGAGTGCTTTTTTTCGGCTTCTGGAAAAATTCTTTTTTTCTATGTTTCCTATTGAGTCCAGAAATGTTGTCATGTGATATTGGCACAATGCAGTTATGGACAAATTAAAAAAAACGTTTGGCAAGACGATGTAGTTGGCAAAGGCAACTTTTCTAGTCAGATTTCGCAAGCTACGCACGCTGAATCCACAGTAAGTTGCGACAGGCACGATGTCTAAATAGCACGACCCTCGCTGCTGAAATTCAAGAACGAGAAAAATTGAAGACACTATTTTTCGAATACTGGAGCGGAGTTTGATATTTCTTTTTTTCTTCTTGACTACATTTTTGAAAAAACGGATAACGTCGTGATGTGAGCTGGATGCGTAAAAGTATTGTTTGAACAGTGCTACTTCTGTTTTAACATTTAAAAGCGTTTTTTCAGGTAAAGAAGAAACAATGCTTTCATACTGACAAGCGATTCCTTCGGCTGAGTACAACATAAAGTAACGTAACGAAAGTTCGTGGTACAAATGTTACATTATACGAAGCATCCATTTCCGTCTCAGCTTATGTTTAGTGTTAACAACGGGCTGATCTTGTTTGAAATTAATAGAACTAAAAAATTAATATTGCTGTATTCCGGTGTTCAGTATTATTTTTTTTTTTTTTTTTCGGCATTCGCGGCCATATCTTGGAATGACAATTTTTGCGGATTGAAGTTACCAGCAAGCTTTTGCTTGAGCCAAGCGTTCTCGAATTCTAGTTGTCTGAGCTGCTTCGCTTCTAAATCCTGTTCATCTTTCTTTTCCATTGCTTTTTGTGCTTCGTACTTCGCTAGCGACAACCAAAGATCATGTGTGTTCTTCTCTATTAGTTTTATTTCATTGTACTTCAGTATGGTTTCGAAAAGTTTGGATAGGTCCTGAGAAGATGATTTAGAGTTCGACATTTAATCGGTACTACTGCATGTATAATTGCACGTCAAAATATTTAGATCAATTTTTTTTCCAAACAGAACTGAGTGATTACATTCATATAAACTTTTTTTGCGCTTCGAAGCTCAGGAAATTTTTTTTTTGTTATAAGCTTGACAAATGTGACGTGTTTGTATAATTTCAAAGCGTATTTGTTTGCCTCAATGACGACTGTGTTGGCATGTCGTTTCAAATAGACGCAGAACTCGTCTTTTAGTAGAAGCAGCTTGTCCAGAATAGTTGCGGGAATATTCGAAATCAGTTTAGTGAAAAGTTCTAGGTGTTGAAAACGCTGTACATCTGCTTTTAAAGTATTTATAATTTTATCCTCGAACAAATGAAGTGCTGCATTGAATTTGTCTTTGGGAAACACTGGCTTAACAAGCATCAACAGTTTCACAATTTTAAGTGAATCTTCAATATCGCCGGACTTGATCCTACAGTTAACAAGTCGTGAGAAAACGTCAACCGTGAAATCTCGATCTTCTTTACTCAAACTGTTGTTGTACGGGAGGTAGATCGAATCTATGTATGTCAACAGAATAAGATCTAACTGCTGCTGGTCAACGGCGTCGTCTGGATTTTTGAGAAACAGTAGTAGTTGCTTGGTAGCGAAAAAACAGACAGTCGAAACTAATTCTAGGTTTGGTACGTTTGAATTCATCGAGTAGAAGGGTAAACTTGTTAAAAGACAAAAAAAATCCCAACAAAACTCCTTGTTACGACTGCTAAAAAAACTGATAAGTTGGTTTGCAAAATGTTTATATGCACTTTCGTAGCTCTCTACTTTTAGCTTAGCGTACACGTCTCTTATAGGTTTTATTGCGTCCATAACTTTTGCAAATTGTGTCAGTAGCAGTTTTTGACAGAACAGGTCTCCAAATAGCTCAGTTAGAAATTCGAAATCAAATATGTTTACAGAACTTATATTATTAAGCCGAATGAAATTTTCTATATTTTTTTTGAGCTTGGCAAAGTCTAAGCTCGTCGTGCATGTGTTCAAAGAATGTTTGATTAATTCGATCAAGTCGCGAGAAAGATTCTTTGTTTTGTCTGAATCAGAACGTTTAATTTTAATATTTTTAGTTTCAGCATTGTTATAGCAGAATTCTTCACTTAAAATACTTTCTGATGAACTGTCGCTTTCTGTGTCAGTGTTAAGCATAAAATGCCCACACCAATCAAAACAAATGGGCCAAACGTTGAAAATCTCGTCGTTCGTGTCTTTATCAGATATTTGAATTTGCTTTTTTTCTTGGCTCAAAAAATCTGAACCGGTCTGAGATATCATTTTAGAATACAGAAAGTATCCAACTCCATAATTAGAGATTAAATCATACTTGTCGTCACTTTCATACGCCGAGCTGAGTAATCTGCTAGATGGGCTATCAAATATGCATGATAAAAACTTACTCTTGCGCTTTTGAATTCAAAATATAATTAGAACGATGTAAGTCTAGGACGAAATCATCTTTACAACTGGAAAACTGAGTTCTGGCAGGTTGTTCATGACTTTCGGACTCCGAATCTGAACTATAATAGTTCATGAATGTTGAATTGTTGTTTACAATTGCATAAGAAAATAACTTTTACAATACAACAAAGTATTAATTTATTTAATATAATGGCAGTTATAAAATATTTATTTACCGAATTTATGAGCTGCCTACAAAATATACCGATAAAGACTCGAGACCCAAACTATAATGACCAGCAAACAAATCAACAACACCAAACGTGTAGCGAGAAAGTCGATTTATCAATTTTGTTAGTTATACAGCACTAAAATTGTGTCGTTAACAGTTCTAACACTCTGAGTTATATAATAATACGCTAAAAAATAATTCAAAATAGTTTCAAATTTTTTTATACTGTAATATGGCATACTATTTAGAAGTTTACTGATATGTCTAAAAAAAAAAATAATAAAAAATTTCATGGTGTTGGTTACGTAGCGAAGCAAATGACCGTGTTTCACGAGTCGTCCGAATTAGACTCAATCAAAAAGACTTTTTTCAAAGATTTAAAAAAACCAGGTCGCGCAGACGCTAAAGAAATCGACAACAAAAATATGACAAACGCTAACAAACAAGAACTAGAAGAAAACTCAACTTGTGGCCCAGCAAATGCAGAAGATCCAGCAAACGACAGTGACCAAAATCAGGCTAAAGTTGAATACTGTTATTCCTTTACGAACTTGTTTGGCAATTAAGCTGAAAGTAAAGTTTAAAGTTGAAAAAAATAAATATGGTAGCTAATTTTTGAAACTAATTCAGTGTATCTGTTAAATTCATATTCTAAAAGCAAGGAAGTTTATTTTATATCGTGTAGTAGTGGTTTTGGTTGTTTAAGCCTTCCAGATTTAAACGCCAAAATTAAACTAATATTTAAATATTTTAAGTTTGAACGACTAATCGATCATATTGATGTTTTTGTATGTTATCAGTTTAGTTAGTTTATCGTTCACAAAAGCTCAGGTTCTAAGTGCTAAACAAAGCGTTTTGAACGATCTTTCCGTACGTGTTGCAAAAAAACTATTGTTAGCTGGAAAGGCTCGAGCAAAGCAGCGTTACAGACAATATAAATCTGAAAAATGAAATGCTTAACGTTACAGAAAAATCACACAGACCTTTA